TTTTTTTTTTTTTTTTTTTAATAGAATTTATGCCTTGTATGCATATGTTCACAAAAAATGAGGGAATTTTTTTTCAAATTTTAAGTGTAATATCTTCAATTAAACTAAATTAAAAAAAAAAACAATAGCACGGTGGGGTCATGCACAGTATGGATGTAGCATAGTTGGAAAACAAATATAAATGATATCTGTTAGTGATTAAAATCACTATCAAAAGAAAATGCTTCAATGCAAATCTGTAGAGTGTTTAATTCTAAGAAATTGGTGGATAATTACAAAAGCAACATCAATTCTTATTTTCCTAATTATATTCTGATTATTAGTTCTTTGATTTAATAGTATAATATATGAATAAACACTAATTACAGTGTTTAAATTTAGTTTGAAATTGATATTCAATAATTTATTGTAATATTTACGGAGAAATTATAAAAACAATAAAGTAGTTGTATATTTCTTTACTTTTAACATGTATAAAAATTTATAGGGCTTGATGCAATACTATATAATTTTTTTTTTTACTTATGAATAAATACACTAATCTACAAGGAACTATCATCAGAAACAAAAATACAATTTTCAAATCTACTTTTTCTCTGTTTTCAAATCTACAATTAGACTATTTCTATCACTTCTAATTTTCAATATTATTACTAATTAGTAATAAATAAGTATTTACATATAAAAAAATAATTAAAACAAAAAAAATTGTTTTCATATTATTAATGATTTTGATTATTAATATATTAAAAATAATCAGAGCAAATATTTTTTATTTAACTATTTTTTTTATTGTAATAAATCACTTAAATAGTCATATTAATTATTTCCAAGTAACTTTTGGTTTTTAAAAAGATTCTACAATTGAAATATTCAGAACTTAATTAATTTTAATGATTTACATTGACTAAAAAAAAACAATCAAAATGTTGTTAAAAAAATCTACTCAATTGAGCATATTATAAAATTTGATTACAATTGTAAAACTCTTCTGTTAACCTAGTTGAAACTAAAAATCATTTATTTTAGAAATAATTTATATAGTAACATATTACCATACATTTTGGAATATTATTGACTGTTAGTAACACACACAAATAAAGTTAAAAAATTAGTTTAGTACTAAGTAAAATAGTTAAATTTTTTAGTTGAAACCTATTATTATATCAAACCTATTTTCACTATAAATAATTTAAAAAACATTAAAAATGAATGATTTTAATTGTTTATATGGTGAATATGGACTATGTAATATTTAATTGATAAAGTAGAATTTTTTCAATTTTTGAAGGTAATATCTTCAAGTAGATATGAATTGTAATAATTTGACATATCATTCTAAAAAGTAGGTCAAGAGCTGAGAAAAAAAATAACAGCGACAAAAAAAAAACTACATAGTAAAATAATTTTAATATGAATAAGAAAATTCTTCTCACGAGTGGAAACTACAGTGATGAGATCCTTGATATTTATTGAAATTTTTGAATCTGAATAAGATAAAAATCAAATGAGTTGAACATTTTTTTTCTAACTTAAAAAGAATTAAGAAAAATGCAAAAAAATTCTTTGTCACAGGCATTTATGAACCTCATACTTCAAATGTATATGACACAAATGTTACTGACTTGACAAATGTCAATTATGTCAAAAACCGAGAATTTAACATAAATATAGCATACTTTTTAATACAGTAGTCATTTTCACCATAAAGACAATCTATAGTTCCACATTTTTTTTTTCATAATTAAGTACATAACATGAGCTTTAATTTAAGATATATATAAAAGTATCAGTATTTTTTGTAGAAAAGTTACCATTTTGAAACCCCCTTGAGGCAAAGTAAAGGATTCTGTTTTAAAAAAAAATATACCTAACCTATAACTACAAAAAAAATGTTGTTTTTATTCATCCATTTTTCAAAAATTTATGACAGTTTTAAGTAAAAAAAAGTTTAAAAAATGTCGATAAATACCAATTTTTAAATTTGTTATTTTTTGGCGAATTTCCCCCATTTACAAGGAACGATGGAAAATTTTCAATTTTTGAGAATAATGTTTTCAATTAGATACAATTTGTGATCTTTTGATGTACTATTCATCAAAATCGGTCCAGTGAGAACAGAAAATAAGTGGTAACAGACAAAAAATAACAAACACATAGTAAAATTAATACCTGTTCAGCTTTACATGAAAGCTAAAATATATAATTTTTAAAATATGATTAAAATACTTACTAAGGAAACTTTCTGTTCTTCCTTTTGGAGAACTGATTTTAATTGTTCAGTATCAAACTTGACAATAGCAGCCAATACTTTAGCTAACACCTTCAAGCAAAAATTTATAAATGAAAAATTTATTTTTTCATATTTAATTACTTCTCGGTTATAGAGGGTTATTAGCAGTATTGAGTTTAGGTAACTAAATAAAAAAAATCTAGCAAAGATAAAAATAATTCCATAAAATAAAATTTAAGTTCAGATAAAAATAACCTTTTTTAATTTTTATCTAGATAAAAATAATGTGATTTTTATCTGATAGACATTTAATAAAAAATCTGTTACTATAACTTATAATTCAACTTGCAAGTTTGAAATTGACATTATTAAATAGAAAAAAACCAGCACAGGGGGGTCGCGGCACAGTGGTGACGTGGCATAGATGGATCAAGTATAATGATATCTGACAGTGATTAAAATCACTATAAAAAAAAACGCTTCGATGCAAATCTTTAGATAGTGTTTAATTTTAAAAAATTGGTGGATTATTCCAAAAGCTACATGATCTGCTAGTTCATTATTAATATCCTAATTAAGATAAAGTATGTCGAATGAAAAAGGGATTATTAAAATATATTATTTCTCATAAAAAAATAATGTTGATCTATACACTTTTCAATATGTCATAACATTATAAAGTTAAAAATGTAAAAAATAAAATCGAGAATTTTCACATAATAATAGCATTTGGTAGCCATTTTCACCGTGAAGATAAAATAAAGTCCGAAATTTTTTTTTTGCATAATAAAGTAGATTACATTAGCTTTAATTTAAGATATATATAAAAGTGTCAGACCTTCCGGAACATTTTCAAAAGTTAAGTTGAAAAAGTTATTTTTTTGTGAAAAAGTTGTCATTTTAAATCCCCCCTGTGGGCAGATAAAGGGTCAAATTTACAAAAAAAATTTATGTTAAATTAAATTTATGAAAAAAATATACCAAATGAAAGGTAATGATATTATACATCTATATAAAATAAAATTATATTGATACGTTCATTTTTGAAAAAGTTATGGCACTTTTAAGTAAAAAAAATTGAAAAATTTTTGAAAATTAGCGATTTTTAAATTTGTAATTTTTTTGGAGGTTTCCCCNCGGCAGTTTTTAGTAAAAAAAATTGAAAAATTTTCGAAAATTAGCGATTTTTAAATTTGTAATTTTTTTGGAGGTTTCCCCCATTTACGGGGAACGAGGGAATTTTTTTCAATTTTTGAGGGTAATGTCTTCGACTAGATACGATTTGTGATCTTTTGACGTATCATTGAAAGAAATCGGTTCGTCGAGAGCTGAGAAAAAGTGGTAACAGACAAAAAAAAAAAAAAAAAATCTTAGTAAACCAATACCTTCTCAGCTTCGCATCGAAGCTAAAAATTGTCTAAAATATGAGTAAAAACAAATTTGTCTTACTTGCTGATAATCATAGTAAGGGATTTAATTACTCTCATACTTAAATAGCCAACAATGGTATAAATTTTCTCATTGTATAATAAAAAAAGATGAATTTTGATATATAATTGCTTTTGTATAAACTTCAAATTCAATTTTATATGGCATATATGTTATAATATTAGGCCATATATAATTTATTAAAATCATAAGTTTTCCTGAATTTTTGAAGACATAAATCCCATTTTTATACCTCTTTTTTTATATAATTAATTACCATAGGCTGCTTTCCCATCATATACTCATAAAGAATATTTCTGAGAAATTCCATTTCCACGTAGCTCTTTTCAATATTTTCATCTTCTTCGTTGGTGTTGGATTTGTTATGAAATTCATTTCTATAAATAACAAAAAAATGTTAACATTAGTTAAATAAACAATCAAATTATTAATAACAAAATAAATGTATAAATGCACATACCTAAACATTTTCTTAATCTCTGAAAGCTCTTTATTAAGTTTGTTAACTTGACGTTGTAATACTTCTTCACGTTGAGATGATGTCTCAACATTTAGTACAATTTTTTCAAGATCCTTGAAAAAATATTTTGAATAAATATTGACACGGTACCGTGTCAATATAAATTTAAATACATATATTAATTACGTCTTTTCATACTATAGACATTATTAGACATAACTAGTCTAATTTATGAAATAAATTTAATTATAAATGTACAACATATGGTAATATAGTAAACTGATTGTAAAAACTATTTATTACTTTTGACTAATTTATACTATTAAATTATTTTAAAAATATATACAGTGTAATTATTTTAAGAGTATTTTTAGGGGTTTCATTCGAAAATTAAATAGAAATATAGTTATTTTATACTATTGAATGAAAAATAAACAAATTAAAATTTAGGATATAAAATTTTTTTTAATTTTGGTAATCAGTTTTGTAATATTAGTCTTTGAGTTATTATAATTTTTAGGTAAAGGTGCAAAAGGAGTAAATAGTAGTATTTTTAATTTTTTCATTATGGTAAAAAGTATTGCTTAACACTACCATGTGCTACACCTTATATAAATCTTTAAATACCTCAAAATGTAATATTAAAAAACAAGATATTGATCAGTCAACATTTTATACTGTTAATTTATCATTTAAAATAATAATATTTTCCCATTTAACTTATAAATGTTATCCTTAATATATGACCTTGGATGAAGTTTTTTCTTTTATAATGATTTTATTGTGGTTTATTAAAATTAAAAACACTTTATTTAGAACATTTTTATGAAAAAATCATTAATAAAAAAAAAAAAATTGGGGGTAATATTTTAATAAATCAACCAGATTAGTAAAGATCAGTATATATCCATATACATAATTATTAATTTAATAAAATATTACTCTTAAAAATAAATTTATAGGGATTACCAAAGAATGTAATTGCAACACTATGAAGTATATTGTAGATTACAACTATATCCCATAAACATTTTAATGATAACATAAGGTATGGCTAGTAGAGTATTTTATTTCAATTGAAATTGGTTAGCTTTGAAATTTTATATTAAGATTATAAAAGAGATAATTAAAAAAAGCACCTCATCATGTTTTTTTTCAGAAATGTTTAACTCTGCTTGATGCTGCAAAATAAAAATAAAAGCAAACAGTTTAAAAAAATAAAAAAAAACGTCAATACAAACATCAATTAATTAAGAAAAATACTACTAACTTTACGTTCATTATTCCATTCTCCAGTTAAAGCATCAATTTCTTCTCTATGTGATGTATCCATCATTTTTTTATAATTATCCATTTTTTCAACCCATTTATTTTCAGTTTCAACCAACTTGTCAGTCCATTTCTTTTTTTCTACCTAGTATAAAATACTTACTTTCAACAAATATTTCAATAATTCCAGATTTCTTTTTAACTAAGTCTATATTAACTATATTAAGCTTAACTTTTTTTTTGTTCTATACATTTTTATTTTAAACAACATTTGATAAGTTTTATATTATATACATTAACACTATTAAGCATCATATAAATTTAAATCATAATATACAGAATTATTAGTTTATCTTAAACCACTCGATTATTTGCTAAGTAAATACAATATTGGAAAAATAATTTTTGATTTCTTTTAGTGACATAATTCTTGATTTATCAACTAATAATAACTTTTTATAATCATCCCTTCTAATTTAATGGGATATTAACTTATTTTTGTTTTGTGTTAACAAACATTTAATTAACTTACAAAAAAAAATAGAAAATTATCAAATTAAGAAAATGACTGGTCGATAACAACTTTTTTGGACCAGTACTTAGGATGTTATTCTCATTAATTATACCTAGGTGACACAAAGAGTGTGACCGGGAAATGACTTTTGATAAAAATAGCAGCACCTAGTCTTCACATCCAGTCAATACTTGAAATTCTTAATAACATCTAAAATACTGGTCCAAAAGTTGTTATTGAGTAGTCATTTTCTTAATTAGGTTATTTCTTATTTTATTAAGTTAAATATTTGTGTTAACTAATTTAATTAAGGTAAATAGGTGAATGAATTTCAGATGTTATTAAGAATAAATAAAGGGATTTACTATCCATTATTATATATATATATAATACATATATACTATTTATTATTCATCAAAAATTGACAAATCAATTTAAATGTTGATTTTCATTAATCATTAAATTATTTTTTTCTTTTCTGAAATTTGCTAAAATTGACATATTAACTTTAGGAAAATAGTTTTGTTAATTAATGCAGCTGGTGATCTACTAATTTTCATTGTCTACTAGAATAAAAATTGATATATCTCATAAATAATGTTTTTTCAATTTTTTCTTTTTGCGCAATAGCATCAAACTGCTTAATGATAATAATATCAATCACTGCCAGATAACAAATTGTACTACACTATTTTCACTATGAAAAATCACGAATAAAATAGTTTTTTTTTTATTTTTCATTATTTATGTTTTTATATTTCATTTTTTCATCTCAAACATATATATTAAGTATAATTGCATTTAGTCATTAAAATTTATACCAATCATGAGAATTGGATGTATTAGGGGTAAATTATTTTGACTTAGTGAATTATTGTGCTGTCTTTTAAATATCTTTTTTTGTCATTTTATTTTCTAATCTGAGTTTTTTGGTTAAATGTTATAAAAATTAAAAAATGAAGTTTTTTTACTTTTAATTTTTCTTCTTCATTTTCATCCCCTTAATCCCAACTACTAGGGGTCGGCCACCCTTATCCTAAACTTAAACTTGACACAACCTCCCACATCATTTACGCTCACATCATCTGTTCTCATATTGTATTCAATAACATCCCTCCATCTCTTTTTTGGTCTTTTTCTATCTCTTCTTCCTTTAACATTCAATATTTTTTATTAAAATATTAAAAAACCAGTGAAATTTTTAATATAAGAATATCTTACTTCAGAGCTGTTACAGGGTGATCATAGAATCAAATCTCCTACCAAAACTATTAATTCATATAAACTTATTAATAGAAGACTAATTAAAATAGATTTTCATTAAAAAAACCTTACGCTATTAAAAAAAGTACAGCGGCCTCTCTCTTAAAATATTTCTCTAAATATGTTTTATTAACACATATGGTTAATCACCTACTACAATAAAACTATATGGTTAGATCAACTGTTCATAAATGTCATTTTAAGAATTAAAATTTACCGCTTTATAATTTTCATGCTCATTTTTTAAATCACTTATTGTTTTAATTTGAGCATTTAATTTTTCTTGCAAATCATGAAGAGTATTTACCATATCACTTTTCACTGCAATTTGTTCATTTTTTTTGAAGTCTAAAAATAAAAATTTAAATACATTTTAGTCAGGTATTATTGCTTGAAATCACTAATATTTAAAGCAATAATTAATTTAAAATTTAAAAACCAAAAAATAAATGAAAAGCAATTTTTAAGTATTGTGAATAAAATAATAAATTAAATAAACTGTTAAGATATTAACCATCAAATTCTTTTTGTAATTCAATTAGTTCATGTTTCTTTTTTTCTAACTTTTCATTATACTTATACACTTCAGTAATTATATTTTCAATGCTCTTTTCTAAGACATTATTATTAAATAAATTAATTATTTGTGCAAAATCAGTTTTTAAAATATGAAAAGATTTTTTAATTAATACTATTTTATCTCTTGAATCTTCTAAATTATCATTAAAATATTTTATATTTTTACTATATTCAGATTTTAAACCAATAATATCCCTTTCGAATATTGAAAACCACTCTGTTAATTGATTAAAAACATAAGACTTTAAATTAAATACATCTTTTTTTGTATTTTTTAATATATCTTGCACAACTAAAATCATTTTTTGTCGTTCTTTTTTCAAAAATGAATTTTCTTCTATAAGTAAGCTAAAATCTCTTACTACAGACTCAATAGTACGTTCTTCAGATATTTTATTAAACTTATCCTGATTTAACTGGGTTAACATTTCTTTATGCAAGCTATTTAAATTGTCAAACTCTCTTTGATTTTGTTCAATCATTTTTTTCATAGTATTTGTTTCTTGTTCTTTCTCGTCTTGAACTACTTTAATAATTTCTTGTAATTTTTTATTAGATTTATCATGCTCAATTATTTGTAACTTAAGTTCCTCTTCTGATTTCTTTAAAAAGTTATTTTTTAATTTTAACTCTCCCATTTCATTTTTTAGATTAGAAGTTAAATTTTCTGCTATATTCAAATAATTCTTCAATTTTTTCACTTCCTCATTTAATATTATAATTTCTTCCATTTTATGTTTTAACTCAGTGTCGTTATCTTTTTTATCATTATTTGATTTTTGAATTATTTCATTATTTCTATTGATTTTTTCATTTAATTCTAGAATAAGATCATTATTTTCTTTAATAGTTGCTTTTAATTTTTTTATTTCATTTTCTAAAATATTTTTCTGACTATCAAGTTCTTTATTTTTCTCGTTTAAATTATTGTTGGATACCTGAATACCTTCAATCATTTCACTTTTTTCAATACATTTTTCTTCTAAATGTTTTATTTTTTCATTTAATTGATGTAACTGCTCATCTTTTACTTTTTCTTCTTTTGATAAGCCTTCTATTATTACTTTTAAAGTGTCAATTTCTTCAAACTGTAATTGCATTTGCTTTTTAGCTTCTTCTTCCAAACTTAATTTTTGTTGTTCCATTTTCTCAAGCCAATTATTTTGCAATGTTTTACAAATATTTTTTTCATCTTCTAGTTTAGAAAGCTTGAGTAATCTTAATTCCTCTTTAACACTTTCTAACTGTGAACTTAAAATATTTATTTTATCAGTTTTTTCATTTAATTGAAGTTTTATTTTATTCATTTCTTCATTATTTTTACTATCTGTGGTCATTTTTTTTTTTATTTCCTCGGCGTCATTTTTAATTTTTTGAATATTATCTTTCTCTTTTATATTCAATTCCAGTTCTTTTAATCGATCTAGATGAACTTCAAAATCTTTGATACTCTCATCACGAACTTCAATTTTTGATTTATGGTAATCTAATTCTTCTATTTTTCCCATTAATTTAGTTTCACTTAAGTTAATTTTTTCATCACACTTTTTATCACTTATAATTTCTTCTAAATTTTTTATTTTATTTTCTTGAGCCATTATAACTTTTTCTTTTACTTCAACTTCTGATTTTAGTTCATCAATATTAATACATTGTTTTTCTAAACTACTGATTATAACACTTTTGTCATCTAATAGTTTTTGAATTCTATTAATATCATTCCTCAAATTTAACACTTGCTTTTCTGATTTTTCATTATCAATTTTGTTTTTACTAAAATCTTTTAAATCTAATGATAATTTTTTAATTATTTGAGATTTTTCTCCGATTTCTTTAATAAATGTGTCTATTTTTTTAGTTGAAGATAATTTTTCATCATTTAAATTCTGTTCCAAAAGAGCTAATTCAGATTTAAGTTTTTCTACTTCTTTGTCTTTATAATTATATTCTTTGTTTAATTTTGAATTAACTTCTAATTGTTGCTCCAATAGTTCTATTTTTTTTTCTAATTCTTTCACTTTATTTTCTTTTTGTTTGAACAATAGAGCCATTTCGCCTTCTATGTCAGATATTTGATTTGATATTTCTTGTTGTAAATTTTTTTCAATTTTTATCTAAAATAAAAAATAGTTTAGTAAATTATTTTTACTGTAAAATTTAACTTATAGTACATTGATAATATACATATAGGATAAATGGATGTAAAAATTTGTTTTGGGAGGCCAGTGGTGGATTTATGGGAGTATAGACCTCCATCCAGGAGTATATAACCCCTTGATCTACCCAGACATCAATATTTTTACATTATTCAATATGTAAGATAAGATTCTAATATGTAAAGTAAGTAGATTTTATTCTTTAAGAAACCCTTCTATAGAAAGTTGTTGAAAATCCCTCACTGATGGAAGCTATAGTCCCATTCTCTAATTAATAAGTCTGGATAATAGATCTTTTGAAAAGATTTTTTCTCACATTAATTTATTTCCTCTCACCCCTTAAAAAAATCAATTTGATAGTTGAGACTATAATGTGTTAATAAGGCTTTAGCCTTAAAGCCTTCATAATATGCCAATGGATAGTTGCCTCGTATAAAACATAAGTACAAATTCAACAAGGATATCAAAACAATTATTAATATTTAAAAAAAATAGAACACTTGTTCTCAAGTAAAATCTCTAACTGTATATTATAATATATCATTGAAAAAATGAAAAATAGATTCCAACGTTTTTGAAGAGGAAACAAGAATAAAACTTTTTAAGATTATAATTTTAGATACAATTTATAGTATTTAATACAAAGATTTTTTAGCTTCGATGCGAAGCTGAGAAGGTATTTTATAAAAATCCTAGGACCAATTATAAATACACTACCTTAATATAATTATAACTTAAACAGTATATAAATATTTGATAGTATTTATAAACTATAAAATTCAATATAATTTTTTTAAATTTACAAGAAATAGTTTTTTATAATTACATATTTACCTGATTTGGATTTGAAAATGATTCAACCATATTACCTATGAAAAATAAAATTAATTTAATTAATTAACATAAAGTTGAAGAATCAAATTATGAAGTACTGCAATGAAAGAATTTATAAGAGTTCAAAA